ATGGAACAGCTGAGAGGAAACATAGACACCTCACTGAAATGGGACTTTCCTTGCTTAATCAAGCCTCTTTGCCCTTAAAATTTTGGGATGATGCCTTTTCTACATCTTGCTACATTATAAACAGATTACCAACAAAGTCCTTGAAGTACAAGACCCCCTTGGAAGTCCTCTACAATCATCAACCTGACTTCAGCAGGTTTAAAACCTTTGGATGTCTGGCCTTTCCATTATTGAGACCTTTTAATAAACATAAACTTGAGCCTAGGTCTGTTGGTGGAACCTTCATAGGTTTTAGTAATGCCCACAAAGGGTACAAAATTCTTCTGCCCTCTGGTAAAGTCATTATATCAAGGCATGTCTTATTTGATGAAAATGTCTACCCCCACAACAAAAACACCAATGCTCAACCTGTTGATCCTTATGTTCTACAACCTCAGTTCATCAATAACCCTCCTGTTGTCCAAAACAAAGACCTTCCTACTCAAACAAAAGGTACCTCTCAAAACCTTGCACCAGAAACCACCAACTCACCAAACAGGTCTCCTCTTAATCACAATTTAAATACTCCATAATCTGTGAACTCTCAGTCCAGTCACAGTACAATTCCTTTAGTTGTGGATTTACCTCTTGAGATGAATAATACTCCAGAACCAAGTTCTTCTCCTTCAGCAAGATCATCAAGAGTGTCTAACAGGCATCACATGGTCACAAGAGCTAAGGCTGGAATTTTCAAGCCAAGAGCCCTTGTGGTGGATATTCAAGAAAGAGAACCAATTAATCTTGATGAGGCTTTAATCTCAGTTCCATGGAAAAATGCCATGACATTGGAGTTAAAAGCACTGGTTGACAATGGCACTTGGGTTCTCACAGATCCACCTGCAAATAGAAACATTGTGGGGTGCAGATGGATTTTCAAACTTAAAAGGAACTCAGATGGAACCATTTGCAGGTACAAGGCAAGATTAGTTGCCCAGGGATATTCACAAGCTGCTGGATTTGACTTTAGGGAAACCTTTAGTCCTGTGGTAAAACACTCTACAATCAGAATCATTCTCACTCTTGCAGTGCATCACAACTGGAAAGTGAGGCAATTAGACATCAACAATGCCTTCTTCAATGGAGAACTTTTAGAAGAAATATATATGATGCAGCCTCCTGGTTTCTACAATAAAGCATATCCCAAGAAGGTGTGCAGGTTAAAGAAAGCTATCTATGGCTTGAAGCAGGCCTCAAGAGCTTGGTTTCTGAAGGTGAAGAACACTCTGAACAAAATGAACTTTTGTAGCTCTCAAGCTGATAACTCCTTGTTCTTCAGAAGGTCTGCTCAGTCAGTGGTATTAATTTTGATCTATGTGGATGATATATTAGTCACAGGCAGCACCACACAAGAGGTTGAACAAGTTATCTCACAACTCAGTGCCAGTTTCTCCTTAAAGGATCTGGGTGAGATCCATCACTTCCTGGGAATGAAGGTACATAGAACTGAAAAGGGCATGTTTTTGTCTCAAGAAAGGTATGCTCAAGATCTATTGTCCAGGATTTCTATGTACAAACACCAATGTCCACAAGCTGCATCCTCAAGAAAAATCAGTCAGAAACTTGTATGGATGCTACCATGTATAGAAGAATGGTGGGAGGATTGCAATATCTCACCATCACCAGACCTGAGATAGCCTTCTCTGTCAACAAAGTCAGTCAATACATGTCTAATCCTAATGAAGAGCATTGGAAAGCTATAAAGAGGATTCTAAAATATGTGGCAGGAAGCACAACTCTTGGTTTGAGGATTTCTAAGGCTGATAATCTCAATATAGTAGGGTTTTGTGGTTCAGACTGGGCAGCTGACTTGGATGATAGAAGATCTACAAGTGGTTTTTGTGTTTATGTTGGAGAAAGTCTGGTGTCTTGGAGTTCAAGAAAACAAAGTTCAGTTTCAAGATTTAGTGCAGAAGCTGAATACAAGAGTCTTGCTCACATAACCTCTGAGATAATCTGGATAAAAAGTTTGTTTAATGAGCTTCATATTTCAGAACAAACAAGGCCAGTTGTGTGGATAGATAACCTTAGTGCCATTGCTATGGCTTCTAACCCAGTGCTACATGGAAGAACTAAGCATGTTGAACTGGATTATCACTTTGTGAGAGAGAAAGTTGCAGCAAAAGATCTTGAAGTCAGACATGTGCCTACTCAATTTCAGATAGCAAATATTTTGACCAAAGCATTGAATGAACAATCCTTCACCAAGTTGAGAGAAAAGTTAAATGTGTTTTCTCAACCTGGCTCGAATTGCGGGGGAGTGTTAGAAGTAACAGCTTTACCAAGCAGTAAGAAGGGAAATTTACAGCACAAAAGTAAAGTGAACTCACCCTTGCATGGAAAAGGCACGAGCTCTGCATGTGATGACCACCTTGTCTTTTTGCATGAACATGGTACAAGTGACAGCTGCACTACTACTCCAAA